TATAAAAAGATTTATATTAAAAAATATCGTTTCTTCTCCCCGTGGGTGTGTTTTGAAAAGGGGCTTGGGAACAATGAGGAGTAACAAGCAGATAGAGAATTAAATGCAGGGCTGGAGTCTTCAAATGTGTGCACATTTCAGAGCTGGTGCCCGTGCCAAGATAAACTCTGTCAGGAATAAACATCGTGTTACATGAAAGGCTAATTACAGATTGGCGCTCCGCGGGTGGGAGGAGGGAATTTTCACCAATTAAAAAGGAACTTTTTTTTTTTCTGGGTTTCATCAAATTGCTGGATTCAAACGCAGCCAGGAGCTGGTGAGGTGTTTGGTGGGGTGGTTGAAGGAGGAGGTGCTCGCCCCCCAAGATGTGCTGCCCCCCTCACCAGGACGAAAGAGGCTCTGCCAGTTGGAGCTGTGTGAGGACGCTGGTTTTGCCCAGCAGTTGGATCCCAAAATGTCCTTTTGGGTGCTCTCACCCATGGAGATGGGACACGGGCAAACTCTGTCCAACCTCTCATCCCTTGGAGAGGTTGGAGGAGCAGGACCCTCGGCCTCCTCCAGGGTGTAGGTCGTGGAAAGATGTCTGGATGGGATGTGGTGGATGGGAGCCTGTGTTGGGATGAAGCTGTTGCAACCGTAGCTGCTCTTTGTTGGGTAACTTTAGTGTGTGGTAGGTGAATCATCTCCCAAAAATTGTAAAGCCAGAAGGCGATGTGGAGAAGAAAAACCTTCCCGAGGAGAATGCTGGGGAGAAAAATCCAGCCTGGGCACATGGTGGGTTTCAGCTGCAGAGCACATGCTGCCTTGTTGCTTTTGGATGGATTTCACAAGAATTTGCATTTCTGGATGGAGTCTGGAGCCTCCGAGGCCGAGCAGGAGCTGGGCTGCAGACAGGGAGGACGTGATGCGGCTCAGACACAACCTCCAACGCCATTTTCCTCTAACCTGGGTTGAATTTTATGATTTTTGGGACGAAACGATGCAAAATGTGGCCGGGGCTGAGCTTCTCTGAGACGTTTAGTGCGGGAACCTCAGGCAAACACTCAGGCTTGCCAAGAGAAACCACAGATTTGTCTCCATCTCTACTTAACGTGGCCGCAGGGCAGCTAATATTGGGACTTTTCTCTCCCATAAGCTGGTGTTTGTCACTTAGTGGTTACAGGAGGTGGCCTGGGCATCATCTCTTCTAAGTCCCCTGCGTCCTTGAGACTGAGGGAAGGTGGAGAGGCCCCATCAAGGAGAGTCGTGGTGGGTTTTTTAGAGCAAAGTAGATCCCCAGCCTGCTCTGCTCCAATGCCCCGTGCTCCTGAACCAGCTAAAAATTCATTTTTTAAATGTCTTTTATGGCAAAAACTTGCTGGGTCTGGTCTCTGAGAAGCTGTTGCATTACCCACAGCCACGGGACCATGCCACGATGCTGGTCGTTGCCACTTCTGCTCCAAAATTCACCTTTTTCCTCAGTCTGTCCTAACTGAAAGGGTCTTTAGTCAGCCTTGGCCTTCAATAACTCCTGTGAATAATTCCAATTTTCAGGCTTTTATGGAATTGTGTTCAAAAGAAGGTGGGAGGGGGGGAGGAGGGAAAGGAGGGAGAAGTCAGCCAAACTTGATAAAGGAGGACTTTGTTCTGAAGCTTTAGGGTATGGTACCAAGCAGGGCTTGCTATACAATTAAGGAGTTTATCTGGCTTTTAGCTGCACGTGATGCACGGGGCTGCCACCACATCACCCCACCACCACCTCCCTTCCAGAGGAGCCCAACTGCTCCTCAGCTTGTGGTTCCTGCTCCTCAGCCTGGGGTTGCTGCTCCGCTGCTCCTCAGCTTTGGATTCTTGCTCCTCATGTTGGGGTTGCTGCTCCTCAGCTTTGGATTCTTGCTCCTCAGCTTAGTTTCCCTTCCTGCCGTGCACTGTGGTGGCCTCCTCAGATGTGAGCTTGCATCTGCCTTTATTTAAGCCTTGACCAACCCTTCTTGGGCTGGGCTTGAGCCACGGGGGGTGTTGTGTTGAGCACATGGGGCCAAGCCACCGCGGGGGAAGCGTTTCAGGCTTTGAGGGAGCCAGAGGATGACGCAAATTGCTTTGGAAGGGCCCAAGATAAAACAGCTGCTTTGTTTTGGGGGCAGATGTGCCACGGGGTGGTGACAACCATCAGCATCCCCACAGCCTCTGCACGGCCAGGGCCACCAGGTTGCTTGGGCTCGCAGAGCACTCGAAAGGGAAGCTTTGGAGATGCAGATGAGCAGAACCTCCCTATCCCCCTGTTGTGGTTTGAGGCTTGGAATGGGGGCGTGACCTTCCAGCAACTGGGAGGACCCCGGGTGGGGGTGAACCATTGTATTCCCTCCCCCTCCCACACACACCCTGATAAGAGGCAGGAAGTGAGTGCTAATTTCACTCCTGCCCTGGAGCTCGGAGAGGGAAGTTGTCTTTTCACTCTTTG